TTTTTTTTCAGATTTCTTTAAGACTATTATAAGATTTTTCAAGACTATTTAAAAATTATTTTAAAACTTAAATCTTAAAATAGTCTTAAAAAAAAATCTTAAAATCATCTTGAAAAAATCTCAAAATAGTCTTAAAAAAATCAAAATAATAATTAAAAAATCTCGGATTTTTTTTTTTGGCATCTTAAAAGAGTCTTAAAATAGTCTTAGTTTGTGTCACATTTAAGATCTTAAACGAACGACAATTTTAAGACAATTTTAAGACGATTTTTTTTACACGGGTAACGATAAAAATTAATTGAAAATAACTAATAAATAAACATACAACAGCGAGGGGACTATATCAATTAATAAAAAAAAATAAAAATTTTTTTTGGTGTCAAATTAAAAATTAAAAAATATAAAATTGAAAATAAATTACTAAAATTATTTAAAAATTATCGTGAACAATTTGGCAAAGACGCGTTTAAAGAAAAAAATATTTTTTTATAATTAAAAACAGTGAAAATTAATTAAAATTCACCAGATGAGTACTTCAAAAGTTCAATTGGCTTGTGAATAGATTCAATAAGCTCGTGGATTCTTTTTTGAGATGTATGCAACTTGATAATCTTTATCATTGTGACACTTAGCGGCGCTAATAACCCAACTACATCACTAACAGCTTCAATGTTTGTCAAATTTTGAAAAATTTCTATCACCGACGCCAGTTGTACTGATATTAAAATTAACCAATTAATTGATTTGATGAAAAAATTGCACATATTCTCTATTTTATCGTTCGATTCAAAATTCCAAACACCGCAAATTCTAAAAAAAAAAACGAAATATTAAACTTGTGACAGATGAAAAAAATCAATACATATCAAACGATATAAAACACCTAAAAATGTTGTAAGTACAATCGACTATTTTACGATACGACCCTATGGGAGTTCTCCGGTTGGCTCCCATTTTTTTTTATTTATTCTTTGTTATATTTCTAAAATAAAACAAACTGCACAATTGATTTGATGTTTATTTTCTGGCTTAAAAATACAGCTGCAAGTGTTGGAGTATAATAAATACCAAGTATAAGACGGCTTCGCGGTTTGAATTCAAAATTTTTATAGTTTCTACACAATTATTTTCTTCAGCTACTATTATAAATAAAAACTATTATTTACTTGTAAGCGCAGTTGGTAAAGTCACGCGATTTCTCGGTTTTGTTGAAAACTTACACGATTCATTTTTCATGTAAATTATTGATCAGAATGTTGAACTCTCCGTAGCTCCACACTTAATAATTCTTATAGTTGGAAAAACAAAATTAAACTCAATTTCTATTTAATTTTTAGTAAAGTAAATTTTATTTGATTATTATTGTTATGTATTATTGTCCTGTTTTTTTTTTAATAATATTTCCAAAAATACAAACTCGTGAAATATATTCGCTGTTATTATACTTTACTGAATTTTAACCGATAAAGAAACAGTTGCAATCGAGAAGTTCAATAATTGCTGAAAATAACAATAAAAAAATTAAGTAAACGGTTGAGCTCAAAGGATTAGACGAGTTTGAGTTATATATACATTAGAAATAAACTTTCTTTGTTGCTGTAAAATGGACAGCGGTGCTTCTCGGCCTAGCTTACCTTACTTCTACCCAGTGCTCTGTAAGCACATCTGGGGATTTTGTAGGAGTAGGTATTTAGTAGCATAACATTAAAAATTTTATATTTGCTATTAATTTGTTATGTTTGTCACAAATTTGAGTTATATATACATTAGAAATAAACTTTTTTTTTTTTTTTTTTCCAATAAGATATTTTATTTTCAATTTTATTACAAATTATTTATTGAGGAGCTCGGCCATCTTAAACGATATACAGATATACAGATAAGCTAGGCCATCTTAAACGAAATAAGAAGAAGAAAAGTCTATTTCTAATGTATTTAATCTCAAATTTGTGATAAATTACGAAAAATTGATATCAAGTAGCAAGTAGGAAATTTCCTACGAATTACAACTTCCTGATCCCCTGAGATGTCTCCCTAACATGTCCCAGTACGTCCCAGCACGCTCAGGAGAGAAGTAAAGTGAGGTTGACCGAGAACTCCGCTGTCCATCTTACACCAACAAAGAAAGTCTATTTCTAATGTATTTAATCTCAAATTTGTGATAAATTACGACAAATTGATATTTGATACTGTGAAATAAATAAATAAATAAAATACCAGGAGTCTCATAAACCTTACATATTTTATATTCGAATAACTGGAGAACTGTTTTCTTTTTTTTTATATCTTAAAGACAACAACGTTAAACTTTGGAGAGAATTATTATTTTCTCTAAAAAACTCTCATTAGCAAAAGGGAAAACTTAAAAATGTTATCGGACCAGAGAACTCCGATAGTGACTCATCGCAAAATAGTTGACTACACTTATCTAATCTTCAGGTTTTTGTAATTTTAATGTTATAAATATATAAATGGATTTTTTTTATTTCATTTTCTGCATGCTCATAATAACTGTTGATCGTTATTTTTTTTAGAGTAATTGGAACTTGGGAATGGGAAACGACAAACCTAGTAGTAAGGGTGAGCAATTTGATCATAAGAATACTGAATTGGTTTATTGTCATTTCAATTCAACTATCAATGGCGCTACATATGTTTAAAAATATGACAAACGTTGAAACTATAAGTGATGTAGTTGGCTTTCTAGCACCATTGAGTGTGACAACAATGAAGAGTATCAAATTATCCACAATGCAAAAAAAAGTAGATCAACTTATTGAATCTGTTTACAAGCCAGTTGAATTTTTGAAGTATTCCTCAGGTGAGTTTTTACTGATTTAATTTTTCCCAAGTGAAATCCACACTATTTTATTTGATTTGTGATTTTATTTATATTGATAATATAAAAAAACCTGGCAAAGTAAATTTTGTATTTTTTGTTATTGATAAAATTAAAAAAATAGTTATTACTCGTACACTGTTAAAAATTTCTATTGTATTTTTACAAAAAATGTGTTGGAAGTAATTACGCACCACGATTTAGTAATTTTAAAACTCAGTTTTGTAAATTTACAATATTATTTATTGTAATTTAATATAAGAAAATTACAACATATTTGTTGAAATTTACTAATCTTTTACTGAAAAAAAGTTTAGTAAAATTCGTAACACGTATTGTAATTTTACTAATCATATGATACCCAAGATGTTTAGTAATTTTAAAACTCAGTTTTGTAAATTTACTATACTATTTATTGTAATTTAATATAAGAAAATTACAACATATTTGTTAAAATTTACTAAACTTTTACTGAAAAAAAGTTTTGTAAAATTCCTAACACGTTCTGTAATTTTACTTATCAAATGATACCCAAGATGTTTAGTAATTTTAGAATGAAGTATTGTACTTATACTATGCATTCATTCCATCTATATTTAAGAATATTACACAAAATTTG